GTCCGGAGTACTACTTAGGAGTTCGGAGAGGCCGGGTAATTGATACGTTTATTTTCGACATGGAACGTTACTTTAATGCGGTAGGGGTCGTGGGAGATGCGGCCAAGGTGCACACGGGGTCGTGTTTCTTGAAGGACTCGGCATTAATTTGGTGGAGACGTAGGAGTGAACTAGCCCAAAATGGTGAGGCGATCACGACATGGGCAATGTTTAAGTCCGAACTCAAGGTGGAATTCGAACCAATGAGAGCCGAGACCGAGGCGAGGGCCAAGATCCATTGGTTGACACACCGGGAAGGACATTTGAGAGAGTACATTGATGAATATGCCAACTTACTACTCGAAATCCCATTAATGACGCTAGAAGAAGCATTATTCGGGTTTACCGAAGGATTGAGGCCGTGGGCCAAGAAGCGGATTGTGGATAAGTGCCCGGAAACTGTGAATGAAGCAATGAAATATGCTTAAAAATTGATTGAATTTCAATGGAGGGAACCATACAGGAGAGACGATGGGTGGAGAATGACTTCGGACAAAAGTGAGGGAGATACGTCGAGATTCGCCCCACGGCCGGAAAAAAGTGGGGGAGATGCCCTAAGATTCGCCCTACAACTCGAAAGAGAACGTCAAGCACCTAGGGCTGCAATGAAACATTTCTTCAAACTGGGATCGAGGTATGAGGGTTGCTTTGTTTGTCAATCAAAAGAACATTTTGCAAGGGAGTGTCCGAACCGATCAAATATTGCCGCGGTGACCGAGGACACTAAGCCGATAGAAAAACGAGTGGCGTGCATGAAAGCAGAGGGTGATGGCGAAAAACATCAAGGACGGATGTACATGAATGTCGACATCAATGGGCGCTCGTACTTGTGTTTACTCGACCCGGGGCGAATGCGAATTACATGAACAAAGAAATAGTTCAGGAGTTGGGGTTGCAATGGGTGTCAACGGAGGGTCGATTCAAGGGAGTAAATAGTGCATGGACACCTTTGACGGGAGTGGCAAAGGACGTACCAATTCAAGTCGAAGATTGGAAAGGTATGGTTAATTTCAATGTTGCCCCTATTGACGATTATTTGGTGTTCTTTGGCATGAGATTTGTCGAGCAAACCAAGTTAGCAATGATACCGCACAAGGACAAATACACTATTATGGATGGAAGCATGCCGTGCGATATCACCGTTTATCGGGAGAAGGAGTTGACGCCAAAGCAACTCGAAAGAGGATTGAGGAAAGAAGACCCAACATTTGCTGCTATTTTTAGCAACGAGGACCTCCTTGGTGACGAGGTCGAGGAGGCCATTACACCACCAAAGGAATTTAAGGATGTGATGCCAAAGGTGTTACCGAAGGGGTTACCACCTCGACAAGCGGTTGACCCCGCCATCGACTTGGTGGAAAGTACAAAACCAGTGTCTCGACTACCACACCGTGTGTTGCTCGACGAAACAATTGAGTTGGAGAAACAAATTGGGAAACCTTTGGAAGCAAAGTTCGTTGTCCCGTCAAAGAGCTCTTTAGGTACACTGGTGTTCTTTCAATTGGAGAAGGATGAGAGTCTTATCAAGTGTAATAACCACGGGATGCAAAACAAGGTGACAATTCGAGAAGGCGATGAATTAAAGACGGAAATCACTACAAGATGGAGTGTGGTAGACCATGTTGGACATTTGCGGAATGTGTTGCGAGTTATACAAGAAAATCAACTCTATGTCCGGTGAGAGTTTGAGATGGACGAGGTCGGAATCTCAGGATACATCGTGGCCGATGGAAGAATTCAAGTGGAGTCTGGGAAGGTCAAGACGGTCATAGAATGGGAGACGCCCAAGTCAACCATGGAGAAAGACGAGAGTACCGAGAACAACCCATTCGAGATCATGCCCGGTTCCCAACCAATGACTTCGAGTGACTTGGTGAGTACGTACAAAGGATCGAGTCCATGGGTGTTCCACTTTGCCATGGGTTGGCCGGGTCGGGCAAAGGTGACGCGGCTATATTTAGAGAGATCCCAAAGATGCAAAAAGGGGGACCGAAAGCGTGGGTTTCAAAGATCCAAAGAGAGAGACTTACCGTTGGTACGATTCTATCAACATGGGCGTATACGAGAAGTGCACAAAGGGTCAACGAGACGACATGAAGGCCCGTTCCCGATCATGAAGAAAGAAGGCAAGGTAAAATACAAGGTGGAGCTACCCGAGGGCTTGTCCCAACTCTACCCGGTATTCTATGTTGGTATTCTTGAGCCTGACTATACGAAAGATCGGAACCCAAATCGAAATATATCGACAAGAGCACCACCCGTGATGCAGACAACGTATGACAAAATAGCCGAGCGAATATTGATGGATCGACTAAGGTGCCGCAAGAAACATCCGCCCTTGACGGAGTACTTGGTGAGATGGCGAGGCTTGCCCGAGACTGAGATGAGATGGAAGCCGGATGAGAAACATTGGCAATTCAAAGACTTGGTGCATGAATTCGAGGCATTGAGGACAATGCCTTCATCAAGTGGGGGAGAATGTCACGGACCGAAATCCGTGACCGAAGATGACCGAGAGAAGAAGCCAAAACCCGGAGGCTAGTCCGATACTTTGTAAATAAAACTAGAACTTGTATGGAGTAGTTGGGAGTTGGTAGATAGTTGGTAGAAGATGGTAGGTGAGGTTGGTAGAAGATGGTTGGTGGGGGTTGGTGGATAGTTGGTGGGAGATGGTTGGTGGGGGTTGGTAGATGGTAGTTGGGAGATTATGAACTTGTATAAATAGGTGGTAGTGCTCATTTCTAAATCATCAAGTTGAGAGCAATAACATCTAATTTCCCTCACTACTTCCTCTCTCTACGATTGTTGAGTGTTCTTGATCGTGTTCTTGAGTGTTCTTAGAAGCGTCCGAAGAAAGGCTGTACTAGCAACCTCTAAGTGTCGGGAAGTTGCTAGGCCGCACGGAAAGTGTTCGAGGAACAACTAGGCGGTCCGTGACAATAGGATGACCCAAATTAGTTCCTTACTGAATTTGAAAAAGAAGGAATTGCCGGACGGAGACGCTGCAGAAGATAACAACAAAGAAACTACTGAAATAGAATTATCGTGAGAAGCTTGAGTCAGCACACCTTAAAAACCTAATACAAAAATACTCTATGTGAACTTCTTGCCCAAATATTTTTTTTGGGAATATTTTTTAATCTTAAATACTTTTTAGCCTCCGAGATGATTGAGAGCCCAATTTGTAGGAGTGGATCGGCCAACCAAAACAACCCTAATTTAGCCCAATGATGAACACATATGAAGACAAATTCAATTCGGACAAAATAAATATTAGAGAAGTGTGGGTCAAAAATACCTCCTAAAAAATAAAAAAATTGAGAAAATTAGGGAACAAAAAACTCGAATGGTTATTTAAAAAAAGAGCCAAAATTTTTGAAAGAGAACATCATCATCCGTACATTGCAGCAATTCAACTTTTTCTTTTATTTTTTTACTTCTGCTTGTTTAATTTTGTTATTATTTTTTAGCATCCATCTTAGATTATTGTTCCTTAACTCTTGCTAATTTGAATTTCTAAATTACATCAGTACTTCATTTTTTTTCTTTTCCTACATTCCTTCACTCTATTGTTTTTTCCTAGTCTAGCAATTTATTTTTCAATTTTTATTGCGAGACTAATCCAAATACTTTCTTAAGTAGGCTAGGAACCCAATTACATTGATTTTGACAAGCCCAACTTATTCGGCCGTTATCGACAATTTTCAGCGATAACAAATACTCATATACTTTATACAACATTAGAAACAAAAGAGTACTAATTAACGTGCAAAAGATAAATTGTTAAATTTGTGCCGGATGGAGGAATTATATTTTTCAAAATATTTAAATATATATTCTAATTTTTTTATTCATATATATATAGTAATTGTTATTTTAAAATTATTAACAATATCATTTACATAAAAAAAATAATAAAATAATACTTCCTCGGTCTCATTTCATTTATCTACTATTTTTATTTTTGTCTATTCCACATAATTTGTCATTTTCTTCTTTGAAAATATAATTATATACTTTAATCGCATTTTAAGGTTCATAATTTATATTTTTTTATTTTAATTAAACTTTTTAGTCATTTTAAACTTAATATATAATTATTTTTATTAAATTATAATTATTTTTGCTAATACATTTTTTTATTACTTACTAATTACACAATACCTAAAGTTTAGTCCTTAAGCCACGGTAAAAAAAATTAAGTGAAATAAAGAGAATATCATAATCATTATTATTAATTAATTAGACATCATTATTAATAAAGAAGTTTGAGTTTAAATTTCTTTTAGATATAATAAGTTGATGTTCAATCTCTATTCATAATAAATTGATTTGTATTTCCTATTCGATTTGCATAAGCTCCCATTAAAAGATAAGAATATTTGGATATCATATGTATACATATACCATAAGTATTATATATACCAAGTAACACTTCTTATTCTATTTATCATGTTCAAAATATATACTTTTTGTTTGTATATGTTTTATTAAAAAAAAATGAAAAAAAAGTTGTAGGCATTTTATTCTTATTCAATACTATTGGATTCAAAAAAATTTAATTAAAAATTTAAAAATAATATTAAGACCATTTGATAAAAAATAATAAAAAAAGTATACACATCTATTATTATATTTTTAAATTGACACAAAAAGTTCTCCTACGTTAACAATAATAGAAATATGATTATATAGTTTACTTTTAATAATATTATACATTTATTTATATAAAGTTTTATAAGTAATAGGTTTGGTTAGATTTATTTATTTTAGGAAATACATATATATGACATTTATTTTTAATAATTGAGTTATTGTGAAAATATCTAATCGACGACCACCTCAAAGAAATGCAAGTTGGCGGACCAAAGGCGTTCCTCTCATTGTCAACGTTGACTTTCAAGGCCGCGAATAGCCGCCAAGCACATGGCCATCAAATAGGCCTCTCTCACGACTGACTCTGCACTGCACCACTCCATCGCGGCCATGGCGGCTTCTTTCCAATTCCAATTCCAATACCTCTTCCTCTTCCTCTTGGCCGCCTCCTTCTTCAGCTTCTTCTCCTCCTCCCAGGCCCAGCCGCCGACCAATCTCAGTTCCTTCACCTCCGCCGACTCTCCCTGGCGCCCCACCGATATTCGCACACTCCTCTCCTCCGACTCCACCTTCGCCGCCGGATTCCGCCGCCTCCCGGCCTCGCAAAGCCTCTACACCTTCTCCGTCTGGTTCCTCAACGTCTCATCTCCCGACATCGTCTGGTCCGCCAATCAACACTCCCCCATCTCCGCCGCCGGTTCCTTGCTCATTTCCCCCACCGGGGACCTCCGTCTCGTCAATTCCTCCGCCGACCCTCGGAATCTATGGCCTTCTCCGGCAGTCAACGGCACCGGACTTTCCCTCCTCCCCACAGGTAACCTAGTTTACGGAAATTTCCAGAGCTTCGCGACTCCGACCGATACCATTCTTCCAAATCCCCAAATTAACGAAACGGCGATCGTTTCCAGGAACGGAAAATTCAGATTCGATTCGAGGCGCCTTGTCTTGATCAGCAGGAACGATACTTATTGGATCAATTTAGGCAATTTCACCTTCATGAGTTTGGATGATTTGGGGCAAATCGTCTACGCCACCGACAACCGGAAATATTATGCAGCCGATTACGGCGTTCGCAAGCTGCGGCGACTAACTCTCGACGACGACGGCGATCTCCGCCTCTACAGCTACGATTCTCTGTCGAATCGATGGATTGTCGGATGGCGAGCTCTGTTTCAGCTCTGTGAAGTTCATGGCACTTGTGGAGAAAACTCCATTTGCATCTACGACGCCTCAAATCTTTCCACCTCCTGCGTGTGCCCTCCGGGCTACCGGAATGTCGCCGGAGATACCTGCGTGTTGAAAGTTCCGATAATGGACATGGCTAAGAGCAAATTTCTTAGGCTGGATTATGTCAACTACTCCGGCGGATCGAATCAGAGCAATGTGATGGCTGGAAGTTTCGCCAATTGCGAGGCGCGGTGCTTGGCTAATCGCAAGTGTTTGGGATTCATGTTCAAGTTCGATGGGACGAATTATTGTGTCCTGCAGCTGGGGAGGATGTTCGACGGCTACTGGTCGCCCAACACGGACGGCGCCATGTTCTTGCGCGTCGATGAGTCGGAGATGGACACGGCGGGGAGCTTTGCTGGTATGATGAGCATGGTGGAGGCTGTTTGTCCGGCGGATATAACCCTCCCGGTGCCTCGCCAAGAGTCGAAGTCGACTGCGAGGAATCTTGCCATCATTTTTGCTATCTTTGCAGCCGAGCTGTTTAGTGGCATTTTCTTCTTTTCGATGTTCATTAAGAGGTACACCAAGTACCGGGACATGGCGAGGGTGTTCGGGCTTGAGGTGATGCCTGCCGGGGGACCGAAGAGGTTTAGTTATGTGGAGCTTAAGGATGCGACGGATAATTTCTCCAAGGAGATCGGGAGGGGTGGCTTCGGTGTGGTTCATATGGGTAAATTGAGCGACGGGCGTGTTGTCGCCGTGAAGAGTTTGAAGAACATCGCCGGCGGGGATGCTGATTTTTGGGCGGAGGTAACGATCATTGCGCGGATGCATCATCTCAATCTCGTGCGGCTGTGGGGATTCTGCGCCGAAAAGGGTCGAAGAATATTGGTCTACGAGTACGTGGCGAATGGATCGCTAGACGAGTTCTTGTTCCAATCACCGGACGAGGATAAGAAGAAACCGATCCTGGATTGGGATATACGGTACCGGATAGCTGTAGGGGTGGCGAGGGCGATGGCGTACCTGCACGAGGAGTGCTTGGAGTGGGTGCTGCACTGCGACATAAAGCCGGAGAACATATTGGTGGGCGAGGACTTCTGCCCGAAGGTGTCGGACTTCGGGTTGGCGAAGGTGAAGAAGAAGGAGGACATGATGAGCGTGTCGAGGATGCGCGGAACGCCGGGGTACATGGCGCCTGAATGGACGCGCCCGGACGAGCCGATCACATCCAAGGCTGACGTGTACAGCTTTGGGCTTATTGTTCTGGAGATGGTGAGCGGGTCCAGAAACTTCTCGCAGCTGGACTCGAAGGTGGCGAGCGACGAGTGGTTCCTGCCGAGGTGGGCGTTCGAGAAGGTGTTCATGGAGATGCGGGTGGAGGAGATCCTGGATAGTCGCATCAAGGACAAGTACGATAGGCGAGCGCATTCGGAGATGATCCAGAGGATGGTGAAGACGGCCATGTGGTGCCTCCAGGACCGCCCCGAACTCCGCCCCTCCATGGGGAAGGTGGCCAAGATGCTGGAGGGCACGGTGGAGATCACGGAACCTAAGAAGCCCACAATATTTTTCTTGGAGGATTGATTGATTTGACTCATTCACTGAACAAATAGACAATCAGTTTTGAGTTTTTTATTTTAAAAAATTAAAATTAATAAAATGTTAATATATATAATGAAAACCTCTGGGCCATTTGCTACTTACTAGAATTGAAGATAAACGAGGGTAGATAATAAAATTACGGATAAAAAAAATTGAAGAGAGAATCAAAATTATTGTCTTGTTTGTAAAATAAAAAATTCAGTTGAGAAATATATAAAAAAAATACAGCTATTTGAATAGATGGAATAAGAATAAATGATTAATTGGACAAAAGAGAATTTTAACTAGTAAGAATTTATAAAAAAATATTTTTGGTTGTTATTTTAAATTATAAATTACATTGTAAGATTATATGTTAGTACATTTTTTTTTCAAAAAATAATAAAAATTAAATTCTTAGAATAATAAATTTAATGTGATTTTATAAAATTGAAATAATATAATTTTTAAAAATTATAAAAGTTAAATAGTATAAAAAAAATTAAAAAATAATAATAGTACTGCAACATTCATTTATCTCAATTTATCTGCATGTGAGAGAGAAATAAAATCAGATAAATGAAAATGATTTATTTCTCAACTTCTATTTCTCTGACTCAAACAAACAACAAAAATTGAAACATATTCATTTTTCTCATGTTATTTCTCTGTACCAAACACCCATAGATTGATTAATAATGTTAGGACAGGAGAACTTTATTTATTTATAAAATGATTTTATTTGACTCGAATCGGCCTTAACGTTGAGCGTCAAAATCCTTGGTGTTTATATCACCGAGTGCCCATAATTTCGGCGAGTAAAGAATTCACATTGGGTTGTGTATATTATTGTTATTCTTTTAATTTTTTAATCTAAAATTATAATTTACTATTTTACAATTTTTTTTCCTTTTTCTTTTATTTTTGTCGCTTGCCCAAACGAAAAATTCATCACTCACCTAACATCCATATACAACAGTTCGTTCTCTTTCTCGGTGTCTTTAATTGTCGTCTTCTCATAATGTACTTTGTTTTCATTGTTTTTTATCATTTTGTTTGTGCTTTCATTTTTATTTTTTTTTTATTAATTTTTTCTTCAAAATTTTCAGCGAAAACTCCGTCGTCATTGATGTCTTTGCCGACGGTCAGCTTTAAGTATGTAGTTGCTTATTTTTTGAATAAATTTTTTATTTTGTTTAATTTTTTTTTTACTATCTTGAAAATAAATCAGTCATTGATGTCTTTGCCGACGGTCAGCTTTAAGTATGTAGTCGCTTATTTTTTGAATAAATTTTTTATTTTGTTTAATTTTTTTTTTACTATCTTGAAAATAAATCAGTAGTGTTGTTTTATCCTACCACATATATTCTTTAAATTTGTTTGGAATGAATCTTCATTCATTTATAGTATGCAATATTCACTATTTTGTTATTTTCTTTATCATGATGTCAAAATGAGCTCATTTGTTTTGCATCGTTATGTCTTCTAATTTTATATTTTGGTTTTCTTCAAAATCACTAGCATTGCTGATTTTTGGCTTCTTATTTTTTTGTTTTTTTTTTGTTTTTTGTTTTTTTTGTTTTTGTTTTATGTTCTTAATGGCGTTCATTTTCATCTTCTTTGAGCTTTTGTTAATTTATGATTATGATTTTTTGATCTATTATTTAGATTGTGTAAAGGAATGTTAATAACTTTAGTTTTTTAATTATCAAAAGTTGTTAATAATATATTAAATTCTTTAGTGATTTTCGTATTTTTTTAATGTGTTATATTATGAAAGCTAATTTTTTAGTGAAAAATAAGTCTTTTTCATTTCGTAGATTAGACTTTCTGAATATCGAAAATGAGATACGAAATGTTAGTGGAAGTAGTACATAAACAAAACAATTGAATGATTGTTCTGTCACTTTGGAAGAAACTTCTTAAACTAGAATGTAGTTTAAATCGCAAGAAATGCGTATGAGTTCTACCTTGCTTATGCTAATAAAATGGGCTTTGACATACAACGACACAAGTTTTATACAAATCAAAGTGGTCAGATACTTGATAGATTATTTTCTTATAGTGCTGAAGGTAAATGAGGGGAAGCTAAACAAAATATCTATGTAAAAACTTCGCGAACTACAACAAGATTTGAGTGTAAAGCAATGATGATGCCCTAAGAGTCATTTATGTAGATCCTATAGAAAGATAGATGATGCCCATGATGGCCACATTGATATTGTTGAATGTGTGAGACTTGCTCCAAAAGTTTCACATGATCTTATGGTTAAAGAAGCAGATAGCCGAGATATCATTGGATTCATTATGCAAGATTATTAGAATTTTATTGGTAATATATATTAGGGAATATGTTGCCATTAGTGATATCTATTGGTAATATAATTTTATAGGAACAAGTAGATATTAATTGTATTAGAATATGTTCTATTATGATAATGTGTTGTCAATTTAATTATAGTAAGTATTTTGTCCCATCTCCTGTTGGCCTCTATATAAAGGCCTATGTATCCACTTTTATATCAAGTTGACAATAATATTGTTGCCTTGAGAAGTTTAACAAAAACAAAATAGAATCCGAAAATAGATTTCGAATTTGATGAGTTGTGCTTGAGATTATGTGAGTCCCTAAGCATCAGACCAAAATACTAAAAACAGGTAAAGTATATAACAGGAAGAAAAAAAAAAATAAAGCAGAGAAATTTAAAAGATCTGTTTTTAGAGAATTGAGTGTGTAACCTTTTTTCCGCCCCTGCGCCCCACCAATATCAATTTGTCCACACTAGTTTCGGACGGTTTGATTTGGTTACCGGATCATGGGGTAACTGTCTGACGGTTAATCTCAAACCTTCAACCACTCAAATCGGTCATTTCAAAATGCACACGCCTCTGATGGATACTCTGACCGTCCGATTTTCACTTCCCAATTTTGCAACCAACTAGCCTTGATGAAAACAATCCATCGGCCCATCACCCTCGTATTTTAGCCATGCAACCAGATCTTCGGGTAACCCTTTTGACTCTGCGAGCCCATTTTGACTTTGCAAGCCCATGGGCCGAAACTCTATATTTGAATTTTTTAGTAACTCAACAACTTGCCGCCCCTCAGAGAATGTCAAGGGTCACGTATCAAGGGCGGTGATATCTGACTGTTGACATGACAGTTTCTTCCCTCTGCCTGAAGTCAGCAAAATCATCATTACGACGGTCGAGTGGTGGAAGATCAAAACCCTTCTTTCGTCCTTAGTAGTCCCCCTTCTTCGTCACAATCTCTACTTTCATCTTCCAGGTGAACCTTCTTCTCTTCACACAATCTCCCAATCAAGACTCACCTATTTTTCCGCAAGCCCTGCAAATAATACCATAGAAATGACATCACGTTCGATGAGTTTTATCCCTATCCTTCTTTGAATCCTTCACCAGCCACCACTCCGGTAGTGCACCCCTTTATCACTACCGTAGAAGGCGGAGCTCATACCTTAAATTTTCTTCAACATAACCGTCGTCTCTTCATCCACGACGGAGCTTTCAATGCCACACTCCTCTGGGACATGATCAAAATCATCCTGCTGGATCCCAAGGACGAGTTCCGCAACTAGTACAATAGGGTAGAAAAAAGCTTCGGATGAAAATGGCTGCAACAAGGACTGGACAAGGCCATTCTAATGTCCACCCAAACCTTCAACATCCAAGATACCATCATTTTGGGAATGACTGCGTTCTGGGACCCTGAGGTCAGCGCATTTCTCTTGCCGTCAGGACCAATGAGCCCGACCTTACTAGATATGGCGATGATAGCCCACCTCTCGATATTGATCTGGTAGTTGGGACCCTGAAAGGTTCGGAGCCAGAGTCCGACCACCCAGGATAGAAAATAAAAGCCATCCCAAACAAAAAAGTGGTCTCGTGGGGACCATATGTCAAGATGCATTGCGGCACCAAAGACATTGAGGTGATCGATGAAGAGCACGTCGCTTTCCTTCTGTACAGGTTGTGCATGTAGGACTCCCTTTCTCCTTTAAATTTACCTAATTTGGAAATAGCTTATTATAGGCGGGCCCTGTAGGTACGTCATCTGTCCGTCTTCCAAATCCATCACTTACAGCTATACCGACGTCACCATCCACCTTGCCATGGGCCAATTTTTATCGGTCGGTACCCTTTTTCTAGTTTGTCTTTTTGAAGGCCTTTCCAAGACCAGCCCGAAACTATCCAGCTCTGCCAAACTGGACACCATTTTTTATGGTCCCATTTGGTTCTTAGAACTCTGGTTCCGGCTACACTTATCGACCATCTTATTTGGTCACCCTTCCATTATCCTTAAAATGCATTCGGTCAAATCAGGAACCTTGGGTCAATACCTTCTTTCCCTCTGTCCCGACCGCAGAGGGCACAAGGACCCTAAAACGACCATAAGGCTATTTTGAGCACTCACTTCTCCGACTCTGACTATTACTCTTATTTCCACTTATCAGCTCCCACGGTTCCACCATTCTATGTGCCTCTTTCCATTCCATTCCCGCACCCACTGGCATCTACTTTACCACACCCTACTTTCGCCTATTCTTGGGATGCGGCCATGAAATCCCGATCCCTTTTTGCCAGAAAAAAGATAGACAAGATGAAGAAAGTTTATACTACCTTTCTTTACTACCCCCATTACTTGACCCACCAGTTTGGGTGCCGCCAAGGCATCCCAGACTTGGTTTTCACCCCTATCTCATCTGAACGTACCCCCAAAACACCATCACGGAGCATTCTATCAAACCGTATACTGATTGCGTCACCGCCTACCTTACCAATCACACATATACCCCATTCTGCGACTGTCTTGATACCGTAAGAGCCTTCCGATGATGGTGGTTAGACCTCGCTTGGCCGGTGGTTGGGAGGCCCATCGCAGATTGCATAAAATCTTTTTTTCCCCCATCTGCCCAATTGGGGTCCCAGATGATTTTACTTCCCCAACCCTTAACAAGGCAAGTCACCTTGGGACCCCCAAGACCAAAATGGCAAAAGGGGATGCAGGCTGTTGGGGCTGGCCTTTCCCAGAAAAGAGCCAAGACCGCTGTAGCCACCCAACCGACGGATTGGGAAGAGCGCCGCAAAGTTAAGGAGGATTACATGGCCTCCTTACCGGTGGATCTGACCCTCTTCCCCTAATTTCGATAACCTGTTGCACAACGAGCTCTAGCAGGTAACCTTGTTCTGACAAATACTTAACCTGAAATGTTTTTCAATCTTACATTGCCTTCGCACCAGCT